GCTCACAGGTACACACACAGGCCCACAGGCACACACAGGCTCACAGGCCCACACAGGCCCACAGGTACACACACAGGCCCACACAGGCTCACAGGCACACACACAGGCCCACAGGTGTGCACAAAGGCACACACAGGCCCACAGGTGCGCATACAAGCCCACAGGTATACACACAGGCCCACAGGCCCAAGCCCACAGGAACCCACACACAGGTGGATACACACACACACACACACACACGCTCACCCAAATAAAAATTTTAAGGGGCTCATGAGGTGGCTTGGCAGCTTACAGCACTTTTCATCAACCAAGCTTGAAGCTCTGAATTTGATCCCAAAACCTACGTGGTAGGAGAAAACTGACTCCCCTAAATTGTCCTCTGACCATCAAGTGTACACTGTGGCCCATACACACCCCCACAAAATGATGTAAAAAAATAATAATAATAAGCTTTAGGAACAAAAGAGACCAAAATGCACTCAGAACAGGCCATTGACAGGAAGACATCAGAGGCCCGCCTCCCAGCCTGCACACTCTTGAGTGACTGGCACTGCATTTCTCCAGGCGCCGCGTTTCTCCTGCTGGGCTGGGGGGAGCCAGTGTCAGGGTGTAGCCAGCCTCCGACTGTGACATCCAGCCAGCAGAAGGGAAAGCTGGCCTCCAGGGAGAGCAGCAGAGCTCTGGGCAAAGCGAAACCCGGTGGACTCCGGCAACCTCCATCTTCACACACACAGCATGGGGGAGACCGGGCCCCCACCCCACGGAGCTGGACAAGCCACAGCCTGCAGCCAAGGGATCATGGTAGAACTGTGACAGGCTGTAGCTGTAGCTGAAGGTACCATGGCACACATGCCTGGTGCCCACCGGGATGACACTGAAGCTGTGACAACCCAGGACAGCCCCTCACTGCACATGCATGTCATGTCACAGGGGCATCCAGCGCTCGGCTACCTGGATGTGGCCGTTGTGGGGCCCTTTGTGGCCGTACATACACTCCACCGTGGCCGACTTCCTCTCCATCAGGTGGATTCTAAATAAAGGCTTGAATCGCATGGGGTCGCCCACGTGGGGGTCATGAGGAGGTAGGTACATCCAGCCGATGATGAACAGTCCATCCACCTGCGGCAAGGAGACAGAGGTCACTCCAGGCGGGGGAGGGGGTCTCTCCTTCAACAACTGCATGCCAGAGCCTGTGGCCGCTGGCATGAACCTGCAGCCTCCTTCCGCATCCATCAGCAGAAAGCCCTGTGGCTGCTTGAGCTGTCTTTAAACAATCCGGAGGAATAGCCAGAAGGCTGGAGGACTGGTCACAAATCTTTGTTCACTTGGAAAGGAACATCCAGCCCTAGCGGCAGCTTTTCAATCTCCTCTACTAAGCCAAAAAATGGCTACTCCCCAGCGTAGGCACCTCCTCCACACACAAGAACCACCACGAGGCTTCCACTCACCACCACGTTCAGCAGTCCTCCATATGGCCCGATGTCCGGCTGCCACAGCCCCAAAATGTGTCTGTATCGGTGAAGCACTGTGGGGAGAGGAGGGACACAATTACCCAGCATGCTCCACTCAAACAGCATGCTCATGGGGCACAGGAAACACCTCTGCCATGAGCCACTAGAGATGACAGTCCAGCCTGTGTCCTCACCATGACCATGGCTTGTGCTCACAAGGTGATGGACGGGTGAATCAGGGTACTCCTGAAGATCCTGACTGTCCAGTACAGGGGCACAGGGCAGGGGGGTCTCTGAAGGCCATGGAGTCACAGACAGCTACTGAGCACAGCTCACACTCAGGTTAACCAGGCAGGACCACAAAGGGATAGGGACCAGTGGCCTTGGCCTGGGCTACAGTGAGAGGGACTGCCTGGACTTTGGACACTGTTGAAGAACTGCGACTACCCCAGGTCCAGCCCAAGACCATCACAGGGGTTTCTAAAGACAAGGTGTGGGTCGCTGGCTCAGGCTCTCCAACTTTTGGAAACAGGGAAGCAGCCATGACCAATGCTCATACCTGAACTACTGACGAGCAGCTCAGGGACACAGGCAGAACTCACACAGGGATGAGCCCGGGGCGGGCTCACTAATTCGGACATCTTACTCTGAATGCACCAAACCCCAGCCACGTCCTCATCAACTGTCAGTGTGAGGCTAGTTAGCACTGGATGTCGCCAGGCATCTCCAAAGAACTACAAGGATGCACTGGCCACAGGCACACTGAGCCACAGGGACCACAGCTTCGCCACCACCTGTCTCTGAACTCAAAAACACAGCACGGTGTCTGAGCCTGGAGTACAGGGTGATGGGGGCACACTCCTAAGAGTGGCCGTCGTGCCACCCTGCAGTGTAAGGAGGAGAGAGCGGAAAGGGCGTATGAAGAAAAGAGTAACATTTGTCATTTACACTTGAACAGAAAAGCTGAAGAAATCACCCGTTTCAGAGCCATTTTAGAAAACAGCTGCAAACTCACATTGTGTGTGCTGCGGGAACAGAGAGGACACCTCACAGATGGCTCCGTCTGGTGGTGTGTAAGCCCTGGGAAGACACCGGCCTCCTCCCTCCAGCTCACACAAGTGAGAGCTGGACACCCGGAGAAGAAACAAACTGCTTCTCCCAGAGGCCAGTCTACAGGTGCTTACACAGTCGACTGAAACACTCAAGCTGCCTCCCAGGGTGAGGCCTGTGCTGCCCAAAGTGACAGCCCAGGTTCACCCAGAGGAAAGGCAGTTAAGCGATATTCAGAAAAACAGCCCCAGTTCCAAAACACAGCCCTGGCCCGAGAAGGAAAAGGAACTGAGTGTGTTTGTGTCTTCATCTCTGTCCACAGACAGTGGGTAAGGAACCCGAGAGTGGCCCCTCTTGTCTAAAAGGAAAAATGCAACTAACAGGCCTCTCTCGTCCTAGTCACTAGGTCAGAGGCAGCAGTGCCTCAGTGCACAGTAAGAATGAGAAGATGAAGGCAGGCCTGGTGGCACACACCTGTAATGCCAGCACTCAGAAGGCAGAGGTAAGTGGATCTGAGTTCGAGGCCAGCCTGGTCTATGAAGGGCTCTGTTACACAGAGAAACCCCGTCTCAAAAAAACCAAAAGAAGGAAGAGAAAATGAGCCCACCACGAGTGTCTGTTTTTAGACTTTCTGATGTGCTCCCCATCACTCTGGGGGAGCCAGTGTCAGTGGCTCCGTGGGGAGAGGAGGGTCTGGAACTCTGCAGGGGGCTTCTCAGCACACCCACTGTGCAGCCCAGGCTTTACAGAGCCTACGTCCTGGATCTTGCACCTGCCATGGAGCTCTGGAGCACCACCACAGGCCTGGCACCCACAGTCACGCCACGTGACCTCTAAGCCCAGAGCACTCTGCAGTCACCCTCAACCCACACAAGGAAGGCCAGACAACAGCGCATCCGAGGACACGAGTGTCCCTGAATGCTCTAATACTACAGAGGCCACTGGCATTCCCCAGACCTGTGGCAGACTGACTCTGCCTGGAACAGCCCTGCACTCAGGATGCTTCTCATTGCCATTCTCATCCTTTCCACCCAGAAGCCTGGGCTCCAGAGGACTTTACACACAGGTCCCGACTCGGGCAGCAGCCCCTGTGGGTGATGGAAACTCAGGTAGGGCCAGGTCCCAAAGCACTCATGTGCAAGGTACCACAGCAGTCCGGTGAGAAAACACACTGAGGGCTCAGCTAACACTAAGAGCCTGGAGGCCAGAGACATGAGGGCACCATGTCAGGTGGTGGACCCCATTTTCTTCTTTTTTTTTTTTCATGGGCGCTCCATGGGCCACCAGGGGTTCACTGCCAGGGACGCTCCTTGTGCTGTCTGGGCTTTCAGAGCCCCTACCAAGTGTTGTGTGACTCAAATGTACTCACACCTTGGCAGGACGGCAGCAGTCCCCATCCTGGCACCCGGCTGCTGGTGCCAACCAAACAGGAGGGTAAAAAACCCAGGCCCTCAGCAGCCCCTCCCAGGAAGGAGGGAGAAAGAAGGCTCTACACATACACACTTCTTCACAGCCCTGGGAGGACTGGGCTTCCGTGCTCTTCAGAAGAGTCTCACTTGGTCCTGTGCGTCGTCAGTTGTTCTCATGCCTTCTCAGCGCCATGCCCTCCCCGTGGGGCTGGCAGGACCTGCTGCTCTCTCCTCAGCAGGAAGGGCTGCCTGGCCCAGGACACAGTGTGGGAAGTACCTCCCAGGCTCAGCCTTGCCCAAGTCCCGTGCCCTGCCATGCCCAGGTCTTCCCATATCCCCTGGTTATGTCCTCGGCAGTTAGTCCACCTCTGTGGCAGCCAATGTAAGCAAAGGTGTTTGTTAGCAGCTATTCAAAGTGCCCACACACCACCCAGGAGCACGCTAGCCAAAGGCAACATCTCAGGAAGCTGGGACTGCCCCCAAGGGGGAGCCAGAACCTGGTGTCCAGGCCTTGACAGCACGCTGGGAACCAAGTCACAGCTTGACTCGTCCTCGTTCTACTGCTTTTGTTAGACAGGAAGTGGCCATCCATAACTTGTTTGTTTGGGGGGAAGGGTACTGGAAACAGGACTCACTCACACTTACCTACAGCCAATGCTGGCCTCAAACCTAACGCCCCGCCTCCACCAAGAGCTGGAGAGGCAGGCAGGCCACGACTCCCAGCTCTGATCTCTTTCTTGACAACTGACACTCACTCTCCCATCATCACTGCCGAAGAAAACTTCCAGCACTCAGTCAGAGCAGGAGAGCAGGTTGCTTTTTAAAAACTTCATTATAACTGTGCGTGCGTATGTGTGTGTGTACACATGTGAGGCAACTCCAGGGAGAGTTCGCCCACCTTTTCAAAGGTTCCTGAATTGAACTCTGGTAAGCAGGCTTACGAAGCAAGCACGTTGAGCCATCCTGTGTCTGACCAGGGGTGTCAGGGTTGTGACCTCACATGGCTCTTCTATAAGATCATGTGATTAACTGACAAACCTCAGAGGTTGCTCTACATCAGGGTTTGTTTTTTGTTGTTGTTGTTGTTTTGGTTTTTTAATCTTATTTTGGTTTTTTTGAAAGTTGTCTAAAACTCAAGCTGTTCCAGAACTCACAGCAATCCTCCTGCCTCAGCCTCGAGAGTGCCAGGCTTATGGACATGTGGCACTGAACCCAGTTACGTCATTTTAGAATGCAGGAGCCTTAAAAGCCTCTGCACAGCCTTCTGCCCTCTGCTCTACCTCAATTTTTCTGTCACTGCCTTTAAAAAAATATTGGTGAGATGTTCCAAGATGTGCTGCCCAAGACACTGGAAGCTACCGCAGAAACCCAGCCCATACACTCAGAGCCTAGGCCCACCACAGCCAGCCGTAAACCACAGCAAATGAGAAAAGGCCGGGGCTCAGCATCTCCCGTGACCGGCCATGCAGCGGCAGCAGCCCGAGTGCAGGATGCGGGGTACGTACGGCAGGTGTAAACATCCCTGTACTCCATGTGCTCGTAATCGGGGAGAATTTTCATGACGCGTCCTGACTTCACGCGAGGGTTTATACCTGAACAGACACAGCAGGTAAGGCTGAGGGGCCCCCCTCAGATGGGAGCGGCTGCCATGTGACCTAGCAGCCTCTTCCTCCTGCCACTCCTACTTTGGGGGGAGGGGGCTGTGCCAGGCTGGCTTCAGAGCACACTGCGGGGTAGCATGCCCTGTTTACTGAAACTCAGCGCAGCCATCAAGGCAGGTGGCACCTGAGGCTCCCTCACTCTCTTGTCACAACTCACTGGGACCTAGAATTGGGAGAGCAGGTGTGGCTGACAGGGCCCTAGAGAGCTGTGCAGGGTTGCTTCAATAGAAAGACACTGGCCCATGGCCAGCCTCACACTCTCCTTGTCCTCACGCTGTGTCCTTCTAAGGCAACGTCACACCTATCACTGCTGAATTCAGACTGACCGGCTCAGCCACTTGCTCAGGCTGCTCTCTTCAGCCATTAGTCCCAGGAGTTAAGAGCGTTCACAGACTTTCAAACTCTCAGCTCCCACACTGTGAGAATCACCACTAAGAATGCCCAAGCACGAAGGTGCTAAGACACAGGCAGAGGCCATCAGCCCTGCAGCTGCCACACAGTCACAGAGCTGAACAGCAGAACTCTGCTGTCTCCATCTGCCTGCCTCCGCCCTATGACACTGTCTCCAGGCCCTGTGCCCGGTCGGCGTCTACCACAGAACAGAGGAGCATAGCTGAGGAACCCCATCCACACGTGCTCCGTCACAGGACACTGACACCTGGCCGGCGTCCACAGCTGCGTTCCTCTGAAAAGGGGGACGTAGTGCTGCAGAAGGGTGTGGAGCCTGAGGCAGAGGCAGCCACTCTGATAACTGAGGGAGCTGACAAAAAACATGGCTCCGCATCTCCATTCCTGTAGGCTGTCCACATCCCACCGGGCTGCAGGCCCAACTCAACCCCAGAAGACCAGAGTGTTCCTACCCAGCCCACACTTCTCAGCGACGGTCTCTGTCCTGCCGGTCACGCAAGCTGCAGCTGAGCAGGAAGCAGAACAGTGAGCTTCAACACAGCAAACAACTAGTCACTAAACAGAAATGTGTCTGGGGTTAGGGCAATGCCATCCACCCTGACCTGACCTGACCTGACCTGATCAGTATATGTTGGGTGCATGTACTGAGGTCACTGCATCCCACAGATACAATTATCATGCATGTTAGAAACAGAACCTATGGGCTGGGATGCGGAAAACAGAGGATTTGCCTAGCACTGACCCACCCCCCAGCACCACCAAAGTAAAATATAGATTAAATAGAAACGCAGGCCCTGGGTGCCCTGGTTAGGATGCCGTTAGCCATTATGGACTTAAAAGAGCGGTATGTCCAAGACGGCAGAAAGTGGCACCCCACCAACAGTCCCGGCTGCCACCATTTACTGCGCCCTGGTACAAAGGCAAGGGGGCAAAGACAAGGGCACTAACTCACGCTTTGCGTAGACATCCCGGCAAGACACGCCCGTGATCTCCAGCTTCCGCAGGTTCTCACAAACGCCATACTCTGCAACGAAAAACAGGCTAGATGTAAAATCGAGGACTCACAAAGCAGCAGCACTGTGGTGCACACCTTCGGTTCCATCACTTGGGAAGCAGAGGCAGGCAGATCTCTGGGTTCAAGACCAGGGTGGCCTACAGAGTGAGTTCTAGGACAGACAAGGAGTCTACACAGAGAAACCCTGTCTCAAAAAAAAAAAAAAAAAAGAAAGAATTCACAAAGCAGCCAAGATGGTGACCACTGACAGGTGGGTGAGGAGGGGCTGGCACTCCTCTGTCAGTAGGAATCTGCCCTCACAGTGTGACCTCGCTGCTTGTTGAACAGGGACCCCCTCAATGCACACCCACCTGTGCTGGTCCAGGAACCTGACTGTACAACAAGATGCAATGGTGGCCATCCATATCTACACAAAGTCTACACTGCTGCTAGGGTCCCAGATGGCCAGAGGCCTACTTAACGCACAGTAGGGGCCCGTCCTGCCTTCACAGAGACGCTGGAGAGCAGTGGGGCACCCGATGTCCCTTTGGCCAAGCTGCCCTAGTCCCACTGAGAGAGACACGCCATGGGAAGCGCAGCCCTTCCTGTCAAAGAGTTCAATGGGCGTTCTATCCTCAGAGAGATCCGTAAAGAGGTATCTGGCAGAAAGCCCTCCCCAGTCAGCACTTCTCCAACAGCAAAGCGGGCCAGGGCTGCACCCCACCCTCACAGGTCACGCTTTGCTAAACAGCTGTCCCTTTAACTTAGTCGATGGTGTAAGAGGGTGAGGTGGGACTCTGATCTAAGAGACACAAGACCCCTTCTTTGCCTTAGGAATAAAAGCCAAGTGGGACCCGCAGTAATGTGGCTGCCTGTTCCATCTGGCACAGCTGCACACAAACCCTTCCACACAAGGCAATCTTCCTTTTCTAAAAACTTTGGACGATTCAGTCATTTTCTTGACAGCCCAGATGCGTTGGAAAGGTCCTCAGCACCCTCCCGCCGCCTCCACCCTTCCACAGTCACCAACCCACTGAGGTGTATCCTGTCGCCTTCATCTCACCACAGTTCCACCCACACCCGAGTCACCTCAGCCAAGTGCCAGCCCCCTGCCTCAGGTCTCAGGTTGTGGGGAGGGGGGACAGTAAGCAGTTGAGTGCACCACTGGGCAGCCTCCACCCACAGCATTTAATCCTGCCAGAAAACGCAGGAAAGGCCCGTGTCCTCTCTATTAGCACTGAGGCAGGAGAGACACAGGACCATGAGCCTGCACTGGGACCCAGAAGTAAAGCTAGGCCAGAGTCCCTTAGTGGTGAGCACAAAGCATGAGAAGGGGCAAGACGGCCCTTGGGACCCAAAGACAGCTACAGCTCACACCTCCAGTGTCCCACCATGCAATGTGTCACCAGAAGTTCAGTGACACCCCCTTGTCAGGACTCCAGCCTTGCCACAGGGTGGGACACGGTGCAGGCGGTGCTACACCCTCAATGGCATTCCGATGGCGCCCAGAGGCCAGTCTTTCCTCCACAGTAATGGATGTCACTGGCCCCATGCTCTGGGTGGGAGGCTCGAGCCAGTCCTCGTGGGCTGCCAGATGCAGGCACCCAAGGAGGCTCTCTAGGCAGCTCCCCTGAGGCCAGGGGCTGCAGCTTCCTAAAGCCCCTCCCTCCACCTTAGGCCTCAGAGAGCGCAGTCCCACACAGCATTCCCCTCTCGGCTGTGTGGCTGTCCCCTCCAGTGGGAAGATCCAGGCAAGGTCCCAGCGCTGGGGAGAGTGTGCGTGTGTGTGTGCGTGTGTGTGTGTGTGTGTGTGTGTGTGTGTGTGTGTGTGTAAATGGATGCCACTGATGAATAAGCTCAGAGGCTGAGTTGCACAGGGTCACGGCCTGGCTCCAAGGCTGTATACCTTGGCACATCCAACTGGTGAGCTCATCTCTCTGGCGCATGACAGGGCCAGCTGTCTATAAGGCCCTGCCTATTCACAGCAATTCTAACTGTTGACGAGGATGCAGGATGCTCATCAACAAATGTGCGGGAAAAGACAGGAAGAAGAGAGACCATGGGCCAGCTGGGCCAGGATGTGGGCATTCTCAGCCGTGTACCTCTGGCTCACCTTCCAGAAGGCCATCATACCCCCCCCCCACAGCCCGGTTACAACTTCAGATGTGTTGACCCAGCACAGTCTATCTCTGCAATTGATTGCTGGAGCTGAGTGGTTCCTATACAGTCAGCTGAGGAGAAAGGGGCTGAGACAAGGGCAGCGCCGTGGCACAGACCCAGCACCTTGAACTTGACCTCCCTAGAGATGTCCTTGCCAACTCCGCCAGGAAGAGCCAGAACTGAACACCAAGAGCAGCTGCACCAGCTCTCAGAGCACAGCAGGTACACACCACGGGGGAAGACACCGAGTCTTCCTGCTCTCCAACCTGAGCCCCTAAAAGCTGCCTCTGCTTGGGTCCTCAGGCCTACAACTTGTCTGTGTGATTTGCCTTCCAAAGCCGGAGAGCTCCATGCCCACGCCACCCGATATGGGGTAACCACAGGCTGAGGGACATTTCAAAGCCCACCTGATTATCAGGGGGACATGCAATGGGACGCCTGAGCCCACTGGGTTGAAGCACCCACAGATGGGATCCAGGAACCGGATAATTCAAAGAGGAAGTCTGACCACTGACATGACTGAAGTTTGCAAGTCAAATTCAGGAGATTGTTGTTGTGGGCTGGGAGCAGAGTCTGGTGGTAGAACATACGCCTCCCGTGACCAAGGCCCTGTGTTCCAGCCCGGCACCAGGGGTTGTGGTATTCCTCGGGCAGGCTACCAGTGATTTCAGTCGCCACAAGGCTTCCACCAATGGCTGACACGGAACAGCGGCTGTGCCATTCGGCCGAGGTGAGTGGTGGCTAGTCACGGTGGTGCAGCCACGGTACCAGTAGTGCACTCCATGGTGCTCACACAGAACCTGTCCACTGGTCAGGCAGCAGGACTGTCCTGTGAGATTGCACTGGATCGCCCTGAGACAACGACGCTAAAAACCTTTCTGCCAATCACCACCACGCCAGAGCCTCAGGACACCTAACGCTGTAACATGTTTTACTCTGTCCTTTATTTCTGTGACACGGTCTCCCTCTGTAGTCCAGGCTGGTCTCAAACTCACTACACAGCCCAGAGTGGCCCCAAACACCCAAACAGAGCTCTGTTTTGTTTTGTTTTACTATTGCTTTCTTTACTCTCAAAAAAGTAAAATTTGTGCTAGGGATGTAGCTGTTAGTAGAGTGCCTGCCTGCATGCCCAAGGCCCAGGTTCGAGTCCCAGCACTGACTGTACAAACCAGGCATGGCAGCTATTCCAGCACTTGGAAGGAAGAGACAGGAGGATCAGGAATTCAAGGTCATTCTCAGCTGTACAGTGAGTCAAAGGCCAGCCTGGGCTATAGAGTGAATTCCAGGCTAGCCTGGGTCACAGTGTAAGGAAAAAAAAAAAAAAAGGTAAGGTATAGGTTAGACTGGGTGAGAAGCCATTCCTAACTCAGAAAAAGCTGTTAGGGTAAATACTAACCGCTCTCTCTCGCACCTCTCACACCTGTGGCAGCCAGACTGGGAGGAGCGAGAGTGCAGGATCCAGACCAATGGCCGTGGCCGTAGGGACTCCGACAGAACGACCTCACAACCCAGGGCGGGCTCTGAGGCACAGCGGCTTCCCAGGGCGCCACCCAGAGTGCAGAGCCGGGACACAGGATCGGAGCGGCATTCAGCAGGATGCCAGGTCAGCTGGAGCAGATTTGGACGAATGGGCGGCAGCCTGAGGAATGTCCCCCAACACGCCAGCTGCCTACCACTGTTGCCGCAGTGAAGTGATCTCCCAAATTGTGGCAAGTTCTGAGCACGCACAGCTAGCTGTCTCTCAGCAACACTGACTGCCAGGCTGCGCAGAGTGCAGCCAGGCCCGGGCGAAGGCTACAAACAGAGGCCTACCCACTGACGGCCAGAGGGCTGAAACAGCTAGCCCACCCGATGCAGCTTCTCCCCACCCATCAGCAGGCCACCTTCAGGGACCCCGCTCCTAGAGACCAGTTAGGTGGCGCTGCTGTCTGACGCCGACCCCAGTCATTCATGCCCCTTTATTCACATCTCTGAAGGCTGGTATGATTTTCCAACCCGACAGAAACCTCATCAGAACTGAGAGCAGCCATCGAACCCAGTGCTTTTCTCCTTCTCACGGGCTCATAGCCACCAGAGACAGACAGAGTCAGAAGAGCGGAGTCATTCTGACCCCACAGCTCTGCCTGTCTACAGAGGGCTCAGAACAATCCCACATCCTGGCACTGTGCATCCTTCCCACGAGTCATCAAAAGAAGCTGCCCTCAGCTTAGTAAGGCTCCTGGGCCCTGGCCAGCAGCTAGGTAGTTGGTAGCTTCCCTCCCCTTCACACCATCATTCTGCAGCAGGCTCAGCCAAGAGGACTGAAGTCAGCATGCCAACCTGCTTTGTTTTTGTTTTGTTTTGCTAGGGTTGGAACCCTGGGCCGCCCATAACCCATGCACAGTCCTCCTCAAGCGACGGAGTTAGTGCTGCCGGTTGGCAGTTTCACTCACTCCAGTGAAATGGTGTAAGTGATTCTGAGAAGCAGCTCCGCCCACACACGCAAAAGACCCAGCACAGCAAGAGACAAAACCCAGGAGGGTGTGCGCTTGAGCAGAGAGCAGGTGATCCCCAACCCTGCACTGCCACAGCCCCACAGACAACTTGGCTCACGCCCACCAAGGGCCAGCGTGGCTGCCGCCATGCTTAGGCCCAAGGAGCTGAAAGCAGGTCTCCAGAGATGTCACAGCCTTGTACACACACCCCTCCCAGCAGCCCAGCAGTTCTGTGAAAGGGTCGGCAAATCCGGGCACAGACATGCAGCCAGGAGCTTCCCTGGTCAACACTGCAACATGGATGAGGGCTCCACACTGTGTAAACCGACCACAAACACACCATGAGATGAGATTCCGCTCCCTAGGGCAGGCATCACTTTGGAAGGCACAAGCAGA